ATGGCCTCTAGCCAGTCACTTAACCTGCCCCTGCATCAGTTCTCCCACAGAGTTTTGATTACCTCCTCCTGCATCAGAGGCCAGAGAACTCCACCCAGTTAGCATGTTCACTAAGTCGACACTACGTTGCATACCGTGTTTGGCATCGCCTCTCGGACACATTTGGAAAGCTTTCCATTTGGAACACGTGTTTAAGTGGAACGGGTTCTATAATGGGTCATTCAGCGGGAAGGGGAATCCGTAGTGAAAGCACCAATCTGGCATTCCGGTTATGAACCACAATTGTAGCTATAAGAGGAGCTAAAGGAAAACTTATTGACAGCTGAGCCAATCAGTAGGCAGATATTTGCATATGAAATCCAATTGGTTAACAGTGTTCTGGAGCTCAGATTGTTGTCTAAGGAGGTCAACAATTGAAACTTACTGACGCATCACCTGACTATTTTCAGCCACTCGTGAGCCATGATTTTATTCTGGCACGTAACAAAGTGTCCCAAAAGAGCACACGGCTGAGTGGAAAAACCCAACTGTTTGAGATGCCATTAATCCGGTGAGTGGAAACCCCATTGTAGAAAGCACCTAGACTCTCCGGAGGTAGGACTGTGCACCGGACAGTCTGAACAGCGTGAACTATCGACCCACGCGATGCGGAAAACACCAATGAAGGTAAGAAACCTTTCTGCCACTCATTGCCCCATATCTTCGGCCGTCCCTTCCCCACGCCCTTGGCTGTGCATACACACGGCGGGGAAGTGAGTTGGCTGCTGTGCGCTGCCGTCTTGCGTTGCTTGTCCTGCCAACAGCACAATGGTTGCCTGTATGCACGTTGGTTTTGAGAGCACTGTTCTGGCACAGCCATCCATAGATACTTCCCACCTGTGATCACGCCAGTGCATTTGAGACTCAAGATTTTTCTAACTGGACGGGTCCCAACCCCAAGTTTGCGGGGGAAAATTCCCGACATGTATTGCAATTGAGTTAGAGGGATTGGCCAACCTGGCGTACTGCTCCCAGCTTGTCTGATGTACTCAGCACAAGCTATAACTGATGGCACTAGTTGAATCGATTTATGCGAAGTAAAGACGTCGGCCCAGGCCCTGCATGCCCCAGTAAAGTGCCTGGGAGAACCATCCAGCCTGTCTAACCATGTATGATGCGCTTCTCCCTGTAGCACCTGGGCACTGTTGTGCAAACAGTTGTGTAGCTGGCAGACGCAAAGGTGATGGGGGCTGGGGGCTGACTGGAACGCCCAGTCGAAAACGCACCCAGCAGCGCCGGCCGGCACCACCCACAGGGCCGTTAAAAGTCCACTCGGCACCGCAGCGGGGGCCTGGGCCTGAGCAGGTTCCCTGCCTTGGCTCTGCGGGGCTCCCAGACGTGGCCACTAGGTCCCTAGGCTCAGGGCGGCTCCATGCGCTGTCCCCACCCGAGTATTGGCTCTGCTCTGCAGCTGCGACCAATGGGAACTGCAGGCACGAGAGCAGGGCACGGAGCTTCCCTTGTGAGCCCTCCCTAGGGCGGCCGGGACCTTGCACCCATTTCCTGGGAGCCAGCACCTACTCCTGATCCCAGCCCAGAGTCCCCTTCCTCCCGGAGCCCGTGCCCCACCCCGGAGCCGTCTCCTGCACTCTCACACCCAGTCCCACTCCAGAGTCTGCACCCACCCGCTGAACGGCCATGTGAGCGGCAGAGGGGGGAGCAAAGGGTGGGGGTGGCCAGGGAAAAGAGAGGGGCATGGGTGGGTCTGCGGGGGGAGGGGTGTCTTAGAAAGTTGGGAGCCCTTGGCTCCAAGATTGTCTACACCGCAGAGTAAGCCAGGGCTCAAGCCTAGCCTGTCCCCATGCAGTTCGTTCTGTCCGGGGGAGGGTGGGACCCAGGGCTCAAGCCCAATTGCTCTGCTGTGTGGACGCAGCCTCCGGCCGTGTGCTGGGAGCCTGCTCGAAGTATCCCATGAGCTGACTGTCCTCTGGCCCCGTAGCTGGGTGGACACTCCGCACTGCACCACCAGGGGGTGGGGGCCGCGTTTTGGGAAGGTGTGTGGAAGCCTGGGCTGTGGGGAGTGGGACTCGGGCCTGCAGTGGGGCCAGACCCACATACTGTAGGGCCAGCTGGGACCAGCATGGGCTCCTGCTCCGGTCAGCGTGTCCCCAGAACCTCCCCCACTCCTGTCCCAGGCCCGTAACCTCTGGCTGAGTCAGCAAAGTCCACATTAGCGACGCCACCATCTCCCCTTGTTCACACCAGCGCGTGGCCCAGGGCCCACGTTGCAGTCGCCCTGCTGGGATTAGCCGCTGTGGTTCCAGGCAGCCGGGCCTTCGCACATCCATGGCTTAGGCACCTAACCTTGCCAGGACCTCCCCCACTCCTGTCCCAGGCCCGTAACCTCTGGCTGAGTCAGCAAAGTCCACATTAGCGACGCCACCATCTCCCCTTGTTCACACCAGCGCGTGGCCCAGGGCCCACGTTGCAGTCGCCCTGCTGGGATTAGCCGCTGTGGTTCCAGGCAGCCGGGCCTTCGCACATCCATGGCTTAGGCACCTAACCTTGCCAGGGACGACCCCTGAAAACGAGGCGTTTGCTCCTGAGGGCTGAGCCAGACGGCCCCTTGCCCCGAAAGCTGAGCTCTTGCAGCCGGTGCTGAGCGGCCGCACGGCAGCAACTAGCAATGGGGAGCAGCAGCGCAGGCCCTCAGCC